CCTTGTGGGGCCACGAAACGCTGCCCTGGGAGGGGGAGACGCTGGAGCCTTGGGTGGGGCTCCCTGTGGGCCACGAAACGCTGTCCTGGGTGGGGGAGACGCACGCGAATACCGCCACTGGGGTCTTAAGTGAAATTCCCTGTGGGACCAGGAAACGCTGTCCTGGGTGTGGGGGAGACGACGCATGCGAACACCGCCACAAGCGCCTTGGGTAGAGCTGTGGAGCTCCATGTGAGATCACGAAACGCTGTTCTGGGTGGGGGAGACGCATGCGAACAGCGCCACCGGGGCCTTAGGTGGAGCTCCCTCTGGAGCTACGAAACGCTGCCCTTGGTGTGGGCGACGCATGCGAACACCGCCATTCGGGCCTTAGGTGGAGCTCGATGCGGGGCCACGAAACGCTGTCCTGGGTGGGGGAGACGCATGCGAACACCGCCACTGAGGCCTGAGGTGGAGCTCCCTGTGGGGCCACGAAGCGCTGCCCTGGATGGGGGAGACGCATGCGAACACCGCCACTGGGCTCTTATGTGGAGTTCCCTGTGGGGCCACGAAACGCTGTGCTGAGCGGGGGAGACGCATGCGAACACCGGCACTGGGGCCTTGGGTGGAGCTCCCTTTGGGTCAGCGAAACACTGTCCTGGGGAGACGCATGTGAACACCGCCAGTGGGACTTTCGGCGGAGCCCCCTATGGGACCACGAATCGTCTGAAGGGTGTGCCGAAATGGCTGAGTTGTGCGAAGGGCAGAGGCAGAGGAAGGAGGAGGAAGGAGGAGAGGAAGAGGAACGCTGGGCGCTGTTTCTTCAAAGCAGGCATATGGTTGGTTAGTTTGATGGTCATGGTGATGATGCTGGTGATGCTGGTGATGATGATGATGATGATGATGATGATGATGATGATGATGATGATGATGATGATGATGATGATGATGATGATGATGATGATGATGATGCTGAGGAGGCGGAGGCGGAGGAGGACGAGGACGAGGAGAAGGAGAAGGAGGACCGGTGTAAACCCAAGAATCACCAACGATGTTGGAATAGCCCTCCCCCCAAGCTCCCTCTTCATAGGCCCTTACAACGGCTCATGTCCACAAAGGGACCTGCCTCGTTGAAAGAGAACCATTTGAAGACCCCGAAGTATGCCAACTCAGTGTTCACGGTAGTCCAACACCAAGGATAAATCTGGCTGTTGCGTCTGGACGATTCTGAATCGTGCCAGAACGCCATTCCTGGGACATCAACACCGCGATTCTTCGTAACTGTTGCGCCCTCATAATCGCGAATCCTTCCAAAACACAACTTCTGGTACGTCGATCATGGTAACCCGTGAAACCCTTCCAAGCTGTTCAGAAGGCTTTGCGCGGCGCTAAAGCGAGAGCCGCTTTTTAAACAGAAACCGCCATCAATCCATTAAACTATTGCATTAAAAAATGTGTGCGTCGCTAAAGCGAGAGCCACATTTTGAAAACCACCCGCCCTCAATCCGTGAAATTCTGAAAACGAATGTGCGCGGCGTTGAGGCGAGAGCCACATTTTGAAAACCACCCGCCCTCAATCCGTGAAACTCTTGCAAATTTCGAAATCGAATGCACGCGGCGCTGAGGCGAGAGCCACATTTTGAAAACGACCCGCCTTCAATCCGTGAAACTCTTGCAAATGTTGAAATCGAATGTGCGCGGCGCTGAGGCGAGAGCCACATTTTGAAAGCGACCCGCCCTCGATCCGTGAAACTCTTGCAAATGTTGAAATCGAATGTGCGCGGCGCTAAGGCGAGAGCCACATTTTGAAAACGACCGAGCTTCAGGGTCACAAATGGTAAGGAAGTCTCAGGCGAAACGCCCAGCCCGCCCTACAAACTGGCCTCGGGGTGCGACAGGGAGAAGTTCCCCAATCAAAGCTTGCCTCTGTAGGGGTCCTAGCGGGTTCATGTGGTAAGGTTAGCTGTGGCGCCGATTTCGGCGGCACGCCCAGGTGCCCGGGTACCCAAAGCCCGGGTGCCCGGGTGCGCTGGTGCCCGGGTGCCCTGGTGCCCAGGTGCCTGGGTGCCCGGTAGCTCTAAGCCTTATAGCCCTATAGCCCTATAGCCCTATAGCCAACCTATACGACCACCCTTCGGGTGATAAGGAGGTTGTGGGGGGGGAGAGGGGGGGAACCAACATCTGACTCAATCGATCTCACTATCGATCCCACTCAATGGGACACCACGGGACACCACGGGACACCACGGGACCTCACGATCGATCTCACTATCGATCTCACTCGACGGGACACCACGGGACACCACGGGCCACCACGGACACCGCGGGACACCGCGGGACACCTCTCGATCTCACTATCGGTCTCACTATAGATCTCACCATCGATCACACCCAACGGGACATCATAGGACACCACGGGACACCACGGGACAGCACGAGACACCTCAGGGCACCACATCGATCTCCCTACCGGTCTCACTATCGATCTCACTCAACGGGACACCACGGGACACCACGGGACACCTGTCGATCTCACTATCGAGCTCACTATAGATCTCACTTTTTTGGGACACCACGGGACACCACGGGATACCTCGGGACACCTTGGGGCACCACATCGATCTCTCTATCGATCTCACTATCGATCTCACTATCGATGTCACTCAACGGAAAGCCACGGGACACCACGGGACACCACGAGACCTGTCGATCTCACTATCGATCTCACTTCCTGGGACACAACGGGACACCTCGGGGCACCACTATCGATCCCAATATCGATCTCACTGTCGATCTCACTATCGATCTCACTATCGATCTCACCATCGATCTCACTCAACGGGACACCACGGGACACCACGGGACACCGCGGGACACCGCAAGCCACCGCCGGACGGACGGACGGACGGGGGAGAATCATTTGTCTTGACTTCGCCCTAGCAACGGTGGACACCACGGGACACCACGGGACACCACGGGACACCGCGGGACACCGCGGGCCACCGCCAGACGGACGGACAGACGGGGGAGAATCATTTGTCTTGACTTCGCCCTAGCAACGGCGGACACAACAAGATACCACGGGACACCACGGGACACCGCGGGACACCGCGCGCCACCGCCGGACGGACGGACGGACGGGGGAGAATCATTTGTCTTGACTTCGCCCTAGCAACGGCGGACACCACGGAACACCACGGGACACCACGGGACACCGCGGGACACCGCAAGCCACCGCCGGACGGACGGACGGACGGGGGAGAATCATTTGTCTTGACTTCGCCCTAGCAACGACGGGTTCATTCCTCTCGCGCGCCCACGCAGCTGCGCCTCGCCCGCACGCAGGACACGAACGAAACGAAACGATTTCCCAATTGGGGGTCTCCGTTCCACTGCGATCTCACCCCCCAACCTCCGCTAGCCCTATAGCCAGAATAGCCATATAGCCCTGATAGCCACAAGAGCCCTACTGACCTATAGCCCTGTAGCCCTATAGCCCAAAAGCCCTATAGCTCAAATAGCCCTATAGCCCTGATAGCCCTAAGAGCCCTACAGCCCTATAGCCCTATAGCCATATAGCCCTACCTATACGACCACCCTGCGGGTGATAAGGAGGCTGGGGGGGAAGGGGGCCAGCAATGGACAACAGTGGTGATTGCTGCGTTACCGCTCGCTCTTGGGAGCCTTGGTGTCGAGTTGTTTACGTCATCCTTCGCTCTTGCGCGCCTTGGTATCATTTTCCCCCCCGGAACCAACGAAATAATAATTTATGTCGTTAATTTTGCAAGAGCTTGGGGGGCCGTTTGGGCGCGTCTTTTGGACCTCTTGGGGGGTCTTGGAGGCCTCTTGGGGGGCTCTTGGGGGCTTCTTCGGTGCCTCTAGGGCGGCTGGCAAAGCCTAGGCCGTACTGCGCAGGCCAAAATAGGTGCGGGAGTGGCGCGGCGAGGACTAAGTACCCTGCTTGAGCCGAACCCTCCTTGCTCTCCCCCTTCTCAGATGGGACGGGCCCGAACACGAACAGGGCCCCCAGAGACGATAATGAAGAAACGGGAGCCTTCACTGCGGCCTCCAGGGGCCTCGGTGCGGCGTGAAATTGCACCACGTGATCGATCTCTCTATCGATCTCACAAGCGATGTCGTTATCGGTCTCACGATCGATCTCACCATCGATCTCACTATCGATCTCTCTATCGATCTCACAAGCGATGTCGTTATCGGTCTCACGATCGATGGGACCATCGATCCCACTATCGATCTCACTCGATCGATCTCACTATCGATCTCACTCGATCGATTGCACTGTTGATCTCACTCTGGATCTCGCTATCGATCCCACTAACGATCTCCCTATCGATATCACTCGATCTTACAATCGATGTCACTATTCACCTCACTATCGATCTCACTATCGATCTCACGATCGATCTCACTATCGGTCTCACTATCGATCTCACTATCGATCTCACAATCGATTTCGTCATCGGTCTCACTATCGTTTTCGCACCAGCGGGACACCGGGACACCGGCGGGACACCGGCGGGACACTGGCGGGACACCGCGGGCCACCGCTTGCCGGAGGGAGAATCATTTGGTCCGGCAAGGGCCCAGCCGCAAGCGGGACACCAGCGGGACACCGGCGGGCCACCGCGGGCCACCGCTTGCCGGAGGGAGAATCATTTGGTCCGGCCCCGCCTCAGCCACAGGAGACTTTCCTCTCGCCCACCCACGCAGCTTCGCCTCGCCCGCACGCACGGCACGCACGAACACGAAACCGAAACCGTTCCACTTCGATCTCACCGTTCCACCCGGTGGAGGGCTCTCGGTTCCACTTCGATCTCACCCCCCAACCTCCGACAGCCCTATAGCCCTGTAGCCCTGTAGCCCTACGGCCCCATAGCCTTAGAGCCCTGTAGCCCTATAGCCCTATAGCCCTATAGCCCTATCGCCCCATAGCCCCATAGCCCTAAAAAGATTATGATTGGGGCTGTTCTCCGGTTTCCTCATTCATACGGAGAAGGAATGGAGGAGAGGAGGAGAGGAGAGGAGAGAGGCGACGTGGGGCACCGTCTCTTCAGAACGAGTACCTAACACCACAGGATGGTTGGGGCAAAAGCACCAGCGGTAAAGGGAGAGGATGCGGCCCCTTTTCTCGTGATCACGACCCGGATCCTGCGAAATCCGCACAGTCGAAAGTGTAAACGACGGCACGGCGACACCCCTCTCTCGACGCTACACACCGAAGCTACAGGCCCACCCCTGGCCATAGCCAGCAAAGCACGAGAAGACGTAGACGATTCGGACCAGAAGTCGACTCCCCCCCCCCCTCCGCAAAAAAATGAAACAAACAACGAAAAAAAAAAAAACGCAGGGGGGATTCGACTGTGAAACCAGCCTCAACATAGAGGCACCGCTTGTCCACTGCGTTCGAGTCCGTCGCATAGAAAACGCCCCAGCCCCAATCGTCATCCTGAAAGTTGTCGTAGTCCAAAAACATATCGCCCATGGAACTACCGACCACGTAGGCCATCTTTGCAATGTTCCGATCACTGTAGTCGTTGCACCAACCTGGTTGGCTACAATCCGCGGGGTTGCCACCATAGCCGTCGTCGCCGTTCATTGGGCACTGGGGGTCAGTCCTCGGGTACACGCCGGAAGGAGCAAAAATGTCGTTGGACCACAAAGTCGCTGGCAACACCGTCGGTTTCTTGCTCACGTCGTTGAAAAAGTCGGGAGCGCGCACCAGGATGCCCTTGCCACCACCCCGGAAAGTGCCCCACCCTGGACTGGCCGCAATCTGAGCATTGAGGGCCTCGGTGAGGCTGGTCTGGCCGTCCCACCTCCCGCTCGCGCCACGAGCGCCGCTCCCGCGAGAGCGGAACAGCCTTGCTGAGTCCGACACGTTGCCGCTCCCGCGGGAGCGGGGCAGCTTTGCTGCGTCCGACGCGTTGCCGCTCCCGCGGGAGCGGGGCAGCTTTGCTGCGTCCGACGCGCTGTGTGCCTGCAGCGAACGTCCCTCCTCCTGTCTCGCCCTGGCAGTCTGCAGCATCGAGACCTGCTCGCTGGACGCGCATCCAGGCATGGAGCACTGGTCGCCCGCCGTTGCCTCGTCGGCTGATACAGCCACTCGAAGCAGCGCGCAGGTTGCCGAAACTGACGCTGCGACACGAAGCATGGCCGCGAAGCGACGTGCCTGCCGCGCGAAAGTGATACGAAGGGTCGAGAACTTGGGTCACAGCAGCTTGAGCCAAATTGCTTGAATCAACGATGTTGAAGGGGCCCTGGGACACACAAATAAATACACACAAATAAACAGATTCCCCATATTTTCCCACATTTTCTGGGTTTCTGTCTTCCCCCCCCCACTTCCCATATTTTCCCATATCTTCCTGGGAATCGAAGATTAATTGTGTCTGTGTGTGTTTCCCCCTCCTGAGATGTGCGCCTCTTGGTGGCCTCCAAGGGGGGGTCCGCTCAAGCTCTCGGGCCATCTCAGGAGGCCCTTGCGCCGTCCCAGGGGCCTCCTCGGCCGTCCTGGAGCCCTCTTGGGTCGGCTCGGCACGATCTAGGGTTAAGTCGGGCGTGTCCCCCTGCAGGGGGATCTTCGACAAAAAAAACTAAAAAAATAACCGAAAAATGCTCCAAAACGGTCAAACCATACTAAAAAAGTTCCCAGCCTGTCATTTGACTATTTTTGGATATTCCCCCTGTAGAGGGACGGGCCCGACTTACATCTAGGGCCGTCTTGGAGGCCTCGTGCGCCGTCTGGGAAGCCCCTCCGGCCGCCTCGGGGCCATGCTGGGCCGCCCTGCCTGGCCGGGATACCCCGGCAGGGCCCCCTGTCCCCCAGCGGCCCGTCGGAGCACCGGCCCAGGCCCCCCCGCCGCTCTGATCGCCCGCAAAGTGTGCAAGTCGTTGGCCTTCGGCTCGCGTGGAAAGAACGGTCAACCGCATAAGAAGGGCGCGCGGTAATGATGCAGAGGCCCTGGAAGGCATTTGTAGTTAAGCTGGCGGCGCGCAGAGAAAGGGCGGGTCCGAGGGGTGCGGCTTGCCAGAAGAAGGAAAGATGAAGGGGCTCCATCGCAAGGGTCGGGGGCTCCTGAGGCGCGATCAGAGGGCAGGAGAAAGGCCTTCCAGGAAGGCCTTCTCCTGCCCTCTGAAGGCCTTCGAGAAAGGCCTTCGAGAAAGGCCTTCTAGGCAGGCCTTCAAAAAGGCTTCTGGGAGGCTTCCAGGAAGGCCTTCTAGGGAGGTTTCTGAGAACCCCGCCCCTGCTTCCTCACAAGGCCGACCCCCCCCCCGCGCCACTCCCGGCACAGATGTGTTCACAACGCGCCCCTGGGCCCCTCTCAGGGTCCGCCCAGGCCACTTCTCGGGCGTTGGCAGAACTGGGTTTAGTGGGACCTGGTTTAGTGGTATGTACTGGGGGACGCCCCCCCCGCCCCGTTCCACTAACTCCCGTCACCCGAAAAAACACCAGCTACGGCAGACCTGGCTTAGCGATTCTGGCAAATTCAAGGGTTCCGCGGCCCTTCCACTTACCAGGTCCCCTTACCCGGGGTCCTGGCTATACCCGAACTTACCCGAACAGTACCCAGTCGTTGCGACGAAGGCCGACCCAAGGCCCTCCGGTTCCGGCCAGGGACGACAGCGGCGATGATGCCCTGGACGCGCGCGCTGCGGTAGGGCAGGCGGCCGCGCCGGACTCGCAGCTGGAACGCCCCGCACACGGCGGCGATCAGTCCAAGCGCGACGCCCGCAGTGCTCGTCGCAGAGACAACCACGCGGCATTGAAGCCCGCAGGGAGGGCTGCAAAGCGGGGCCGCCACGACAAGGGTGCCTGGAGGCAGCGGTATTTCGACAACAGCAGGCGCGGAAGGATTCCTACGACCCTGATGCGCGCAGGCAGAAGCACCTCCACACCTACCGCCTGGATGAGCGCAGGCAGAAACACCTCCACACCCCTTGGGGTTCATCGGCATGTGAGATGCTTCCCCCTCCCCACACCCCTTCCCCGGGAGCCCCGTCTGGTCAATTTGGAGGGGGGGGGGTCCCCCAGGGACCGGCCGAACGCGCCACGGGGGCACAGAGGGTAGGAGGGCACCAACGATACACCAACACCGATCCTGGCCAGGATCACCCTGGGCCTAGGATCGGTGTATACTCCCTCCTGCCTGGGGCAAGAAGGCATATACACCGATTCTGGGCCCAGGATTGGCCTGGCCAAGATCGGTGTTGGTGTATAGTTGGTACCCTCCGAGAGGGCCCCGAAACAGGCAGTGAGGGGGCACCGAGAGGCCCGTCGGACGGTCCAAGAGGGCCACGAGCCGCCGAGAGATCGATCCCAAACTCCCGCGCTGGCCTCCAGGACCCAAGACGCCCCCAAGACGCCCCGAGAAGCACCAAAGAGATCCCAAGATGGCCTCAAAGAGCAAGCATCGCCCAGTCTCCTGCTTGGAAAACCTGCACTTTCAGCACAGTCGCCCCTCCTGTCCTGCGATCACAACATCCAAGACATCCCAAGAAGCCCCCTGGATCCCCCCAAAACGGCGCAGGAGGCCCCCTGGAGGGCCCCAGAGCATGCCAAAAGGGCACCAAGAGGCCCTCTGAACGGTCCAAGAGGGCCACGAGCCACCGAAAGATGGTTCAAAAACGCCCAGCCCAAGACGCCCCCAAGACGCCCCCCAAGAAGCCATCAAGAGGCGTTCAAAGACGGCCTCAAAGAGCAAAAATCAGACCACTTCCATTGGAAAAACTGCATGTGTGCCTCTCCTGCGATCACAACATATCCAAGACATCCCAAGAAGCCTCCTGGGTCGCCCCTGGACGATAAGGGGCAGGCAGAGGAGGAGGAGGCGGGGGAGGAGAAAGAGCTAGAGAAGGGGGAGGGGGAGGAGGAGGATTGCAGAAGAGGTCACTGGAATGAGGCGGGAAAAGGGATGGTTCGAGTAAGGCGCTCCCTACCCGTTACCTGGCTCATGCTCTCTTCAGCACTCTGGAGGGTGAGGCCTCGGCGCGCCCGAGAGACGGGCCTCGTGCGGCCTCGGTGCGACAAGTGGGGGTGCCAAACGCACGCGCGAGGACCCAGGCGCTGGCTTTGGCGGCGGCACCTGGCAGCTGCCGCACCTAGCGCCCACGTACGCCGCGACCTTCCAGAGTGCCTGCAACACCCGCCCCTGCTCGCAACGCTGACGACGCCACGACGACGAGGACGGCCACTGGCTCCGCCGCGCTGCGGCCCCGCCTCCACGCCCAGAAGCTCGCCGCTGCCGTACGACAGGATCAGGTTCAGGTTGCCGCCCCTTCACCAGAGAGACGACGACGACGACCACCACCACCACCAAACCACAACCACCACCACAACCACCACAACCACCACCACCACCACGACCACGACCATGACCACGACCACGACCACGACCACGACGGCGGCGACAACCACGACCACGACACCGGCTGCGGCGGCTTCGCCTTCGAGGAGGGACAGGATGGGCCAACCCCATCCTGGGCGAAGCCCATCCTCGCCGCACCTGCACCGATCCTGGCCAAATTCGTCCCAGGCCGAGGGCCACCGTGGAAACAGAGGCAGAGGTCAAAGGCAAGGCCACCTGGGGGCACGAAAGGAGGAGGAGGAGGAGGAGGAGGAGGAGGAAGCGGCAGCGTGCGGAGCACTCTCATGCGATCAGGAAACAGGAAACAGGAGGAGGAGGAAGAGCAGGAGGAGGAGGAGCAGGAGGAGGAGGAGGAGGAGGAGGAGGAGGAGGAGGAGTTCCCCCCCTTCCGTCCCAAAGTGGCAGAAGAACCGTCCGCCACCCCTCGTCGCGGTCGCGGGGAACAAGAAGGGGGGGGGGGCCCGGCCCAGAGCCGCGGGGAACGGGAGCCGGCGAAGGAGCACGTAGGACGCGCTCTTGTTCGTGTGGAAGAGTCGCGCCTGCGGGGGGGGTCTGGGTGCGCGCGCGGAGCGCGCGACGGGAGCAGGGGTCGTGAGGAGGAGAGGGCTCCTCCTCGTCCTCCCGCGACGCACACTTTTCTCACGCAGCCTCGCCGACGCGCGAGCGGACGGAAGTGTAGTTCTTAGAGGCCTGGAAAAGGGCACCAACACCAACACAGGGGGAGTGCCTCCACGTGGGGAAGGCGATCCTAGATTTCGGTGTTGGTGGTAACATTTCGGTCACCTTGGAAGCCAGAATATTACCACCATCGCCGAGATCGGGATCGTCTTCCCTCGGTGGAGGCACACCGCCGATCTTGGTGTTGGTGTCAACCTCTAGGCCTGCGAAGTTCTCGCCCTCGGCGACGCGCAGACCTCGCCTGGAACAAGGCTCTCCGCCCCGACGCGGCGCAGATCTCTCTCTCGCCAACGTTCGCGAGGGGGCCCCCCCCGCGAGGGGGCGACGCGTCGCCCACTCGCCCAAAACTCCACGCGCATGGCGCATTGGAAGCGGTGCTCCCGCGCGGGCGCGGCGCATGGCTCGTTCGCTGCATCGCATGACAGCGACAGCGGCAGCTGACCAGCCTCGAACGTATCCCTATCCCTAAGATGGGCGAGCAAAAAGCGAGGACAATCTTAGGGATAGGCCCTCAGAAACTGAGGGAATCCTTAAGATCGGCATCGAGGTGAGGTGATGTCAAACATAGGAATAGGGATCTGTTTCAAACTGGTAAGCAGCGGGTCCGTGCAAGAGCTGGCGAAGTGCCCACCTCGCCCAAGCGCCTCGCAGCTTGTGAGTGAGACCGGCAGTTCCGAGTCGGCACGGCGCCTGCTTCGTCTTCGCCGCGCCCCTCAGAAGCTGTGCCGCTCTCCTGCCCCTGCGCGGCCCGCGTAGCTCTCCCTTCGCCAAGCCGTCGGAAGCGGGGCCGCACTCGAACGCCTTCCGTTTGCGAGGCGGGGGCACGTTCCAGTCACAATATCAAGTTGTGCCACAACTGCATCTTATTGCGCGGGAGGGAGGGTGGGAATCGGCGGGGCCCTGTGACTCGCTCGACCTGGCTAACTTGTCCTCCCTTCGACTCCTGCTCCCACTCCCCCTCATCCTCCTCATTCTCCTCTTCCTCCTCGCGCGTGGGCGTAAAATTGTATACACTTCTCGATTTGTGCGTGTGATCCTTGCGCAGGGGCCATGCTAATCTTCTCTGTATCGTTCCAATTTTAACGGATGATCCCCGAAGGGAATCCTCCTTCTCCTCTTCCTCCTCCCTCCTCCCTCCATCCCCTCCCCACCCTCCGTCCACCTCCTCCCCTTTCAACCTCCTCCTGGCCCTC